AAAACTTAAACAATGTAAAATTGATCCTATAACAACACATAATGAAATTGATGAAAATTTTTTACGTGCATCTCAACAAACTATCAAACGTACACGTGATACAACGAATAATTTAATTGCAGAACTTCAACAACGTGAAGATTCAATAATCAAAACAATTGAAAATGCTTTAGAAGATAGACGAAAAGAAAGAGAGAAACGTACTGAGTAAGTATCAATTACATCTAAATATGTATATAAAAAAAGAAGCATCATATATTTAGTTCAGCATTATTAACAAGTGAACAAGCTATTGATTATACTCATTTACTTCACGATTGTCTTAATCAAGATCATTTAATTAATGAAGAAACTATGATGAATATTCAACGTCGTTTAGATGCTCGTAATGCTCTAGGACATTCAGTATCGGAAACAAAACATCCTGTTGTTGAACAAGGATCATTTGAACCTGAAAGATTACTTCATCTTCGTTATGCTCCTCGAGCACAATCTTCACTATCAAAAATTCGAAGTTCTCATGGTACAAGAGTTACTGTACGTTTAGGTACACATAAACAATTTCAAATTCCATTAGAAAATACATTTTCTGTTGGTAAACATCCTACAGCTGTGTCATTAATGGATCGTTATGTTGAAACATTCTTTTTTCGTCGTACACCTGGTAATAGTTTAATCTTATTAAGTACAACAGCTATTGATATATACAATCGTGGTTCAGGTATTGAATCGAGTATACATTTATCAAAAATTTTCGGTACAAGAAAAGATAAATTATTAGCTGGTACTTGGTGTGAATTGACTCAACGACTTATACTTAATGGAAATCATCGAATGTATTTTTATGATCTGCGTGGACAAGGACGTACAGACATCTTTCCTTGCCAACCAGAACATGGAGATCCAGGTAATACACAAAGATTTCTTGCTTGTACACATGATGGTTCAATAATTTATGGTAAAAGAATTAATAAATTCAAAATTTATTTTTATTACATTTTTTTATTTTAAAGCTTATAAATCCGATTTAAATGAGTATACAATTCAAAAATTAGTTCATCCACCTTCATTCCCAGTGAAAGATGATAAGCTTAGACATGAACATACTGAACATTTTCTTCAAGCTAAACATATTACAAAAGTAAATGGTCGTATAGCAGCTATGTGTAACACACATAGTCGTACTGCAATTGTTTACCGTCGTTTTCGATCGGATAAACAACTGGAACATTATCTTTGTTTCGCTGATCAATCTCTTAAATTAAATAATGAAAACGAAATACGATTACCAACTGATATTAAATGGATTACAGCAATTACAGCATATGGTAATGATGGACATTATCTTCTTTGTGATCCACGTGGACAACAATTATTATTTTATCATTTAAAAGAAGGTTTTCTAACACGTCGATTTCGTATTGGTGCTATAAATGCATGTTGTTTAACCGATGGTAAACTTGTTTTATGGTTACAAAAACAATATGCTAGTTCACCAACAGGAAAACTTCATTTTATAACAGCACCACATTTAGGCGAACCAGCTAATGTTGCGAAATCATTTCCATTATTAGAACAGAAATAAGCTTATATATATATATGTATTTTTTGTTTATTCACGAGGAGAATCTGTTTAAATCAGACGATATGAAAGAAATAAAGTTATTTAAGGGGGCGTTCTCCCCTATAAACATACCCTGGTGTATTCTCTAAACCATTTTTAATTACCAATTAGCGTTAATGAGTAAAAGTCTAGTGTAAAAAATTAATTTTTCTGATGTCAGAAAAAATTAGAAAAAGTCGTATGATATATCATTTTTAAATTTTGGATTTTTATGTCAAAAAAAATTATTTTTGATGGCTTAGAACCTCAAAAAACTGACATTTTCGTCTTTTTTTTACCGAAAAACCTGATATTGAAAGATAAAGGACATGGATGAAAGGGTTTTATTATGTAAAGAATATTGTCGTTGTATATGTCTAATACTATTTCAGGGTGTGAGTGTGAGTATAGATACTGTATTCACCAAGCACCCACACAATGATTTTTCATTGATCATGATGTTCTCAAAATCTTCTATAATAAAACCTTAAACTTCCACTTCATTATTTATACTATTAACTTAAATTAAATAAATTATTCATATTCTTTAGTATAACGATGTTATTTTGTCATCTATAAAAATAAAACCGTTTCATCACCACTATATATATGATTAGTTCTAGTTACTTTCTTTTTTTCATTCTGCTGACGTCTTTGCGCACGTTTGTCTATACGCCTATAGATCGTATGAGGGTGGATGTTTTATCATCGATTTTTGATAGATATTAAGCCCTACAAAGTGACATTCATGTATGTTTACCTCCTTTCTTCATTCATGCGTGCGTCAATACATATAAAATCAACTTATAATTATATAAAGAACAAAATGTATTACATGTTGTAACTTGACCATATTATGTGTCCACAAAAACAAACTTTTGATTTCGTTTGCATAGTTAAAAAAATCAATCATTGATAGATGCCTTATTTGTCAATGAAGAATCAAAAAATATTGTTCAATAAGTTCTTGTATTTTTGAGGGTGTGGGTGTAGATCAAGTATTAAAAAGTAAAAGTATTTTTTTTGTTGACCTTCGAGTACCGAAAACTAAAATATATTTTTTCATATTTATTTACATGTGTCGACTGAAATACTTAATCACATCAATTATGAATCAAAAACTACTTCTGCGTTCTGTGCGAACGCAAATATTCATCGACACGGAAGAAAAACTCAGATACGAACGACTTTACATAGAATAGGAAAAAAATGATACTGATAATTGCAGGTCACAGGACGATCAGTTTTTCACAAAAATTATCACGTGAATAAAAAAAAGAAAAAAAAAAACAAACTACGTCACCGTCTAAATACCTGTACGAAATTTGTATAAGCAATGTATTGGGAAGAATGATAGACAACTATAACGCATCATCAATAATTATTATTTTTTCGTTCTTGATAAAACACATGAAGCTTTTTTCATCAACGTTCTTACTTTGTGAGTACACGTATACTTGTTCTTCTTTTTTCTTTTTCATTCAATATATGTACTCGGAGGACATATAATATTTGTTATTTACAATTACATACAGAAATATTCAACGATCATAACTAAGAAACATGAAAAAATTCATTTACTCAAAACATATCAAGATTGAAAATACAAAAGATTATGTATTAGAATTTATTAATAATTCAAAAATAACAAATACAGTAAGTTAATCATTCAATAGAAATATAATATACCTTTTTGTCTAATCATACATTTATTACCTTGCAGTATTCAGCTGATTTAGAACATACATGGAATAAACCAAAATATCCATATCCTGATCAATTCCTTATAAATGAAAAATTCAATTTATACGAACAGACAGCTCATTTAAGACAATTCAGTATTTCTGATGATAGTCACTGTCCTTCTAATACAAATGATGAATTTAATAAAACAACCGCATTTAAATCTGTGTCATCAGCATCATCAACTTGTTCATCTGATTTTAATTCACCTACTCATTTAGTTCCATGTCAAACTTATAATCATAGCCCAATAACACCAACAGGTCAAGTTCCGTATGAACAAAAAATTTCAAAAATACATTCAGATTTATTTCATCACTCGTTTAATACAACATGTACTTGTCAACAATGTTGTCCAGTAAATGATGATTGTTGTCAAGCAATTACATATGAAATTTTCATGAAACAACAACAACAACAACAACAGCAGCAGCAACAACAAAATCTAATGACTTATCCATATTTTTCATATAAAAATAAAACATCATTTTCTTCACATTTAATTGCTGATGACAAGGCTAGAGACATTATTAAAGCAGAACCTTCTGAACATGAACCAGTATTCCATGTAACTTCATCATCACCTTTGTTTATTTTACCTCCGATACCAACTAACATTACAAATCCATCGACTATTTATGATTTTC